TTATATAACTGTGATTATAAACGGTTCTTTTTAATATAAGATTTTTGAGGATAGGTGTGATAGTGACTATAGATAGATTGTGACTATATAGGATAGATTTTAATAATAATGTGTTTTGAACATTCAACTGGTGTGACTATATAGTAGAATGTGACTATAACGGGAGTGACTATAGAGGGAGTTGACTGTATAATAAATTTTGTCTATGTAATAAATTTGTATTAAAATAGTATAATAAATTTTATATGTTTATGTAATAAACTTTATACTTTATTTATTTATTTATTTTAAGGTAAGCCAGGAGGATATCATTGAAAATTTTAAATCAACAAGAGTTGTATAGAATACACAATAATAAACTTCGCCCAAAAAAATCAGACCCTGACTAGAATTTTAAAAAAAAAACTATTTTACAACGCTACCATTATAGAATAGGAACAAGAAAAGAGCATCCTAACGAAAGGTAATCCACCCTAAAATGCTAAAAACAAATTAGAACTAATCTACTGAAAGATTAAACTAACTTACGCAGCAGGGATAAAATTTCTGCTAAAACCTCCTTGTTATCCTTGTTACGATCCATGTTCTTCAAGAGATTCTTTGTCTTTTTCTGAACATTCAGAGTCATCAACCAATTATTATTTTGTTAGGTACTTTTTGAAGACGTAACTTTATCCTTCTTCTTAAGCTGATTACTATCTGAGACTTTACCTACTTTAGGTTTTTTTTTGTCCAAAGTATTTTTAGCCTTTGGTTTCAAAAGTGCTTTCTTCTTTAAGGTAGGAATAGAGTGTCAACACCATTTCAACTCTTTACCATCAGGTACAAAAAACTGTGGCGTATCTAAGGCCCTTAGTGTGGTCTCCCAATTCTCAAAATAGGCTACAAGTTTTCTCCTTCTTTTGCTTGTTTGAATAATTTTAAATGAGCTAGCACCGCACTTCATTCACATGATTTATGGTCCATCCACAAGGTAGCCATCATCATATCCTCTGGAATGTCATGAATAACAGCTTGGAACTTTTCACGTTGTTTTCTTTCTCGTAAAGTCCAACTTGCGGGGAACCATTTAACAGGTATACCTCCCAGGTCTGTCATCCAATATTTCTTAAACTGGGAAACGGCAAAGGAGGAAAGTGCTATTTTGACTTGAAGAGTCTGATACTTATGTTGCCGTTTAACAGAACATTTAATAACGTTCCCCTAAAATTTTAACTCTGCTATAATTTTCTGCAAGTCCCAGGTATATGGGATATCGTAAACTATTATGTCTCGAATTCGCTCTTGCTCCTCTCACTGGTCAAAATTGATGCTATTAGGTACATATCGGGTACCTAATATATGTATAATATATGTGATATATGTGTATGATATTTAACAATACTACACATATCGGGTACCTGATATGTGTAGTATAAATGTAGAAAAATGGTGACACATCCTACAAATATCATATACACATCATATACATATCGGGTAGTCAAATATCAGTGACATATCTTATAGATATTATACATTTAATACACATATATTGGGTAGTAAAATATCAGTGATATATATTATAGATATCATACATTTAACACACATATATCGGGTAGTAAAATATTGGTAATATATATATAGATATTGTATATTTATATCATGTCGGATAGTAGCTATATACTATATTTTTATTGTATACGTTTTACAATTTCATATTAAAACTAATAGATTTATATTTCTTTTTTTTTTAAAATTCAGACTAAATAAAATTCAATTTTATTAAAATTTATAAATTTTATTTACATAAAAGCAATAATACAAATCTTACTCTATCTGCTATGTAAATATCAAATAAAGTTGAACGTAATTATACTATGTAATATGAAAAGTTCTACTGAAAGTAGCAATAATAATAAAATTACCTTTTTACTTGCTTTTGTTATATCTGTTTATTATTTAAAAGAAATATTAGCGAAAATATTAGTAAGTGTATTAATTAATAAGAGAAAAAAGGAAATGTTAATAAAAACGTTAGTGGTAAATATAGAAAATATTAGTAAAATGTTAGTAGGAAAAAAGAAAAGTTAGTAAAATAGAAAATATTAATAGGAGAACATTAATAAAAACGTTAGTAGTATTTAATATTAATAGAAAATGTTAGTAATAGAAAACATTAGTGGGAGAAAAGAAAAAAATATTAGAACGNAAGAAAAAAATATTAGAACATCAATAGAAAATATATATATAAAAAGAAAAAAACAAGTATAATGAAAATATACCTTTATGTTTATTTCTAAATATAAAAATAAAAAAAAAAAATATTAATAATATTATTTCATAATAATTAAGTAAAGAGTTTGTTTAGTTTGTTTTAAATAATAAAAAGTTTAAGAGAAAAGTTTTTACGGAAAGAAAAAAAAAATAAACAAAGTGCGAAATATAAACACTTAAATCATGTGAACAATCGCCTGATTACAATAACAAATTCTGATTGGCCCATAGATTTTATGTCAATCTGGATTATTATAATTAATAAAAATGCATTTAACATTCATGCAAATTTTGTACGATACTACTCACTATGCTAGAATTACACTGCAAGTTAAACTCTTTATCGCTTTAAATAATACAAAACCCTACTTATATACCATTACACCCATCCACTAACCATTTAATCTAGGTTTTTTATTAATTTAAAACCCATAATAATGCATAAGATATAATTCTTTATAATTCAGTTAACAATTAATAATTTTATGATGGAAAAGAAATGAATATGTGAAAAAGGGATAAAGTGAATGAAAGTGAATTAAAAGGACAATGTGAAAAATGAAATTGGAGTGAAAGGATGATGAAAATGAAATAGAAGTGAAGAGATGATGAAAAATGAAATAGGAAATGACGAAAAACAAAATGGGAGTGAAATGGAATGATGTAAAACAAAATGGAATGATGGAAAATAAAATGGAATTGAAGGAGATAATGAAAAAATAAAATGGGAGTGAAATGGGATGATGAAAACAAAATGGAAAAGAAATGAAATAATGTAAAACAAAATGAAACAATATAAAGCGAATTGAGATGATAAAAAATGAAGTGGAATGTTGCAAAATGATATGGAGGGATGAAAAACGATATGGAGTGATATAGAGTGATAAAAAACAATATGGAGCGATATGTAATGATGAAAAATGATATGGAGCGATATGGAGTTATGAAAAATGATGTGGAGCGATATGGAGTGATGAAAAACAATATGGAGCAATATGGAGTGATGAAAAATGATGTGGAGCAATATGGAATGATGAAAAACGATATGGAGTAATATGGAGTAATGAAAAATGATGTGAAGTGATATGGAGTAATGAAAAATGATATGGAGTGATGTGAAGTGATGAAAACGATATGGAGCGATGTGAAGTGATAAAAAATGATATGGAGCTATGTGGAGTGATGAAAAATGATATGGAGCGATATGGAGTAATGAAAAATGATATGGAGCGATATGGAGTAATGAAAAATGATATGGAGCCATGTGGAGTGATGAAAATGATATGGAGCGATGTGGAGTGATAAAAAATGATATGGAGCGATGTGGAGTGATGAAAAATGATATGGAAGCAAAAGGGACGATGATAAATGAAAAGGATAATTAAAAACAAAATAAGAACAAAGGGAATCATGAGAAAAATAAAATGGAGGCGAAGGGAATAATGAAATAATAAAAACAAAAAAAGCGAAAAAAATAATAGAAAATAAATGAAAAGAGAGTGAAATGGATATAGAAAATTAAAAGGGAATAAAGTGGATGATAGAAAATAAAAGAAACTGTTAGTATCATTTTCAATAAAGAAAACAATAAAATAGCAAAATACTAGTAATAAAAGTGAGTCTTACCTTAAACTCTTTGAAGTTATTTGAAATTGTTGTTTTCTGAAAAACAAGTTAACAAGTTAGCATAAAAGAAAAAGAACATTAAACTAGCGAAGTAATAAGTAAATAAAAAATCTTACCTTAAGAAATTCCAGAAAAAGCTAGTCATTTTGGAAATAATACTACAAGAAAGCAAAAAACAAAATGTGCTATGCATTTGTGTAATATGAAATCATCTGGTGAATTTCACTGGGATAAATTTAAAAATTTTGATCAAAGTGAAATTCACCGGAGGTGAATGTAAAATTAATCTGTTAGAGAGTTTCGCCAACGCGAAACTAGGTTCGGTAAGCAACTGAAATCGACACTGCTATATTTGGTTTATCATCATATAAAAAAAAATTCATTTTTTTTTATATTTTCTTTTATTTTTTTTTTGTAGGTCAGACTCTTATTTTTTGTAGAACGTCAGACCCTTGGAGACTAGGACGAACCGTACCTATACAATAAAGGTAATGTGGGAGAAGGAGCTGGGGTTACTATTTTGTAATTAAGAAACGTTTTTAACGTTTCTTTCTTTTTTTTGTAAAACTAGGACGCCGGACTCTTGAAAATAAACCCAGACTTGGATAATGTAAGGAATAGGGAATGGGGAATTTTTTCTTTAATATTAAAGAAACGTACTAACGTTTCTTTCTTTATTTTTTTTGTAGGATTAGAACACCGGACTCTTGGAAACAAATTGAACCCGGACTTTGAATGTAAGGAATAGGAAATGGGAATTTTTTCTTTAATATTAAAGAAACGTACTAACGTTTCTTTCTTTATTTTTTTTGTAGGATTAGGACGCCGGACTCTTGGAAACAAATTGAACCTGGACTTTGAATGTAAGGAATGAGGGAAGGGAAGAGGGGTGTTTTGTAATTATGAAACATTTTTAACGCTTCTTTCCTTTTTCTTTTGTAGGACGCCGGACTCTTACGAATCTGAACTTATGCAGCAAAGGTACTGGGAGAAGGGGAATTCTTTTGATATTAAAGATGGAAACGTACTAATGTTTCTTTTTTTTGATCTTTGTAGGTTTTGGCTTCCTGGAATGACACTTTGAATGGGCAAACATTTCTTTAAGGGTGGCGTTTGAAATTGACTTTGAGAAATGTTTTAACGTTTCTTTTTTTTTCTCTATTAAGTTTTAATAGTTGTTTATTGGAATCGAACTAACTGGAACATTGTTCCAAACCATTAACAACAAATTAATGTAAAATAATAAATGTATTCAAAAATAAAATGTATTTAAAATAAATATAAATAATTTCATAAATTGTATACATAAATAACATACTATTGGAGTTTTTTTTCATGTAAAAATTTCAGGTTACCTGATTACCCGAAGTGATCTGAATTAACCTGAATATTTTCGGGTCAGACGGGTCAGGTCAGGTCAGAATAGGTTACCTGACCTGTTCCGACCCGTTCAGAGTTCTCGCTCACTCCAAGGAGTCCGGCAACCTAAAAAAACAAGAGAAAGAAACGTTAGTAACGTTTCTTTAATATTAAAATAATCACCTTTCCAACTTACATTCCAAAGCCCGGGTTCATTTAAAGGATATAGAATTTTTTTTATTAAAAATAAATTGATCGACCGGTATGACGGTTAATCAAATTTAGATTATCAAATTCTAATAGAATATCGATGTTGATATATCAAAATGTATCATACAAATATTAGTACCCGATATATATTAGAAATATATCGGTGACATATTGGGCAATATATATCTGATTATATAGGTACCTAAAATACCAGTGTATATCGGTGACATATTGGGTACCCAATGTGTACCCGATATATGTAAATACCCGATATATATCTGATTAGTCACCGATATATAGGTACCCGTAAGGTTGCTTGTCTAAACCTCTTCAAAATCCTACGATTAGTTTCATCAAAATTTTACTATAGATTTATTATAGTTTTGGCAAAGTTTCGGCAGTTTTGGCATTTATAATAAGTTTTGGCAGTTTCACCTTTCTCCAAAGTTTCGCCAGTTTTTTAATATAACTTTAATATAGTTTCGGCAGAATTTCGCTTTTCGGCGAAACGCCATCTTGCCTAACCCCTAGGTTTCGGCAAGCAACCTTAGGTACCCGATATATACCCGATAGCATAGATTTTGACCAGTGTCTCCAACAGCTTCGTATCCTGTCAGTATTTGTGTAGCCTCAGGTATGGATGATTTCTT